AGACACAGCGAGAGAGGGAACACAAGCAGGGGGAGTGGGAGAGGGAGAAGCAGGCTTCCCGCGGAGCAGGGAGCCCGACGCGGGGCTCCATCCCAAGACTCTGGGATCATGACCTGAGCCGAAGGCAGACGCTTAAGGACTGAGCCACCCAGGCGCCCCTCTGTATGATTTTAATAGCCCACATTCACCCTTCCCTTCAGGACAACTGGAGCCACTTGGTTGGCAGGCACAAAGAGCAGGCAGTACCTGGGATTTATTTCCCACCCACCCGCCCTCAACCCAACTCTCCTTAGTTAAAGACTCCTGGGTGATGGAGCAGGAAAGTCAAGCTCCCCTGCTTCCAGGTGGAACATTCCAGAGTGCCCCGAAGGATCAGTGTTAAGGCTTCCCTCTACAGGATTTTGTCCTCAATCACACCCTGCCTGACTTCTCTTGCCTGTCCCACTTCCCCCACTCCCCTTAACCAGTTTCTTCCTGGGAGCACTGCCTGAACAAATCACTTGCAGGGGGTATCAAGCCGGTCTTCACCGTGATGGTTTGTGTTGCTGCGTTCCATCACCAGGGGGCGGCATCATCACATTGCATGCAGAGAAAGCTTGTGCCTGGAAAAAAACGTATCCGTAAACCCAAATCACAAGGAAGAGTAATTTGAGAAGCGAAAAACGAGATCCTGAATGAATTATTTCCAAAATGGAATTCAAGTTCCACATTGTCATAATTTTATCACTTACCATTGTTTTATAACGTGGCACTAATTTGCTATCCATATCTAGTAAAGCAAAAGAAACCCTTTTTTTTTGCATTTTTTCATCTTTTAAATAGTGAACTAGCTACTTTACTAAGAGCTTATTTAAAGCTGTTTAAATTTCAGCACGCTACTTCTATGAATGTCAGCAAGAGACTCATTAGTCACATTTTTCAATTGATTGCCTCATTATGCAGTTATACGAGACATCTCTGGTCCGTCATGGTTTGATGACTCTGGGGCCCAGTGGTTCTGGGAAGACAACTGTCATAACAATCCTGATGAAGGCATTAACTGAGTGCGGGAGGCCTCATAGAGAGATGCGAATGAATCCCAAAGCAATTACTGCGCCTCAGATGTTTGGCAGACTGGACACCGCTACTAATGACTGGACAGATGGGATTTTTTCTACTCTGTGGAGAAAAACGTTAAAAGCTAAAAAAGGTACATGTCAACTCCTTTGTGAACCTTCCTCCCCTACCCCCACCAGTTAAATAACACAATGTGTAATTCTTTGCAGGTGAAAAGTGATTTTTCTCTTTTAATTATTCGCAGGTGAAAACATTTTCCTCATTTTAGATGGCCCTGTGGATGCCATTTGGATCGAGAACTTAAATTCTGTGCTGGACGACAATAAAACCCTCACACTAGCTAACGGAGATCGCATCCCCATGGCCCCGAGTTGTAAGCTTCTATTCGAGGTGCACAATATTGAGAACGCTTCTCCCGCCACGGTTTCCAGGATGGGCATGGTCTATATTAGCAGCTCCGCACTCAGTTGGAGGGCAATATTGCAGGTGGGGGACATGAAGCCCGCGCGAGTGTGCTCAGCATCTTCCCGGGTTTCACCTCCTTGGTAAACTGAGGTTCTGTTTCTTTGCGGCAGGCGTGGCTGAAGAAGCGCACTGCACAGGAGGCGACTGTATTCCTCACTCTGTACGATAAAATATTTGAAGATACATATACGTATATGAAACTAAACCTCAATCCAAAAATGCAGCTCCTGGAGTGCAACTATATCATGCAGGTAAGTTTGTTTGTCTACATTCACTATTTAGATTGGAGACTCCAGCTCCCCCACCCCCCACCGTCCCCGCCTCGGAGTTTAGAGGCGTCTGAAATAGAAAATTCTCGAAGTTCATAGAAATACTTTTGTGATATGGCTGTGAAGGCTTGGGGAAGTTTGATTCCTATTAAAGATTTTGCAAGACTTCATTAATGCTTTTACTGCCATCTATTTTATTATTTTCTTTTCCCAGGGTGGGTGTTGGCAGGGGAAGTGGAGTGAAGGATCTCTCCCACCATCAAGCTTAGTAACCTTCCTGGAAAGTACACCCAATAATGACACTATACTAAATGAATAAAGCAGGTAGTCCTATCGAAAAGCACTAAAAAGAGCTGGTGATGAGCAAGAAAACTCCAATGGCAATCTCAGCATTGCAAATTTAGAGTATATCAGATAGAGAAAACCTTGAAACAATTTTCTTTTTTTTAAGATTTTATTTATTCATTTGACATAGAGAGACAGCAAGAGAGAGAGGGCGCACAAGCAGGGGGAGCTACAGGCAGAGGGAGAGGGAGAAGCAGGCTCCCCACGGAGCAGGGAGCCCGATGTGAGGCACCATCCCAGGACCCTGGGATCATAACCTGAGCCGAAGGCTTAACCGACTGAGCCACCCAGGCGCCCTAAACAATTTTCCAAGTAGTTCCTCTCATACTCAGTTTTCCTTAATAGTCTTCGTAAAAAATCAGAACTAATCATAGATTATGGAGGCCTCCCCTGCTTCTAGGCTATAGGTGATCTTTCATGATCCATTCTGGTGCTTTGGTTTTCTCTGAATTTAATAGGGGGTGCCAGTCAGCAAAGGTGGGAAGGTAAGAAGTAATACATAAAGGCCCAAATCAATGAATTATTTAGTAATGACTTTAAAATGCATAATGTAAGTGAAAATATTATCTTGAATTAATTTTGTTTTGCAAGACTGAGGCTATCTTACTATAGATACATTTCCTTCTGATGCCAAATGGGAGTCGGCACACTTTTCCTTAAATGAGCGGGTAGCAAATATTTAGGCAAATGTTTGCACAACTGTCTGTCTCAACCTCTCACATCTGCTGCAGTATTGCAAAGGCAGGCAGACACAATGCCTACATTAATGAGTGTGACTGTGTTTCAGTAAAACTTTATTTGCCAAACAGGTGACCAGCCCCTGGGGCCACAGTTTGCTGAGCCCTGCAAAAAGTGAAAAAGAAATACAATCTTTTGTAGAAAATTTGGAGTAACTAAACTTTAGATCCAGAAACTACCTTAGAAAACATGTAGTCTAAAAAAAAGGAAGGAAGGAAGGAAGGAAAAGAAAGAGAAAGAAAGAAAAAGAAAGGAAGGAAGGAAGGAAAGAAAGGAAGGAAGGAAAGGAAGGAAGGAAGGAAGGAAAGAAGGAAGGAAAGGAAGGAAGGAAGGAAACATCTAGTTTAGGCCCTTTGTTTTTCAGATCAGGATACTGAGGCTCAGTGAGGTTGATGGCATGAGCTGGGGATAGAAACCACACCCCCAGATTCTCATTTTGGCATCTTTTTTGGTAGTCCATGCAGCCTGTTTAAAGCAGGATGAGGTTTCTCTAAATGCTGTTTCCTGTAGGACAGTGATCAAGCAATATCAGGAGATATATTTTTTCTTCCCCCTTTTCCTCCTCCCTTTAAATTTATTATCATTTAAACATTTTTATTTAAAAAATTTGAGTACAAAAATTTATTGTATTTCAAATATTTTCAGTCTCTCAATCTACTGGAAGGTTTAATTCCCTCCAAAGAAGAAGGTGGTGTTTCATGTGTCGAACATCTTCATAAATTATTTGTGTTTGGCCTAATGTGGAGTTTAGGAGCCCTTTTGGAGCTGGAAAGCAGAGAAAAGCTTGAGGCCTTTATACGAAATCATGAAAGCAAGTTAGACTTACCAGAAATACCTAAAGGCACGAGTCAGACCATGTATGAGTTTTATGTTACTGATTATGGTAAGTACAGTGACTTATACCTGAAATGAGATGATCTCTTTTTCAATGAGAAAAACATAAACTTCCATAAATTCTTCTATGGGGAAATATCAAGCCAATTATAAATAACATGATTGCTAATACCATTTTTAAAAGGCATATATGCAAAGAATAGTAGAATTTTGCATATTGGCCTTACTGGGAACTGGTAAGAGACTCTTGGCTTCTCCCCTTTTTGGAGTGGCCTAAGTGAAATCTTGCATAATAAGTTGGCAATACCTCTTACATCATGTATACTGATGCTTGAAGAGAAAAGGCAGTAGTGTCGAGAACACAGATTCTTCATGATGTAATAACAGACCAGTCCTACAACATTCCTGTTGGAAATGTCAGAATAGTTAGACAATGAACCAAGCCGATGGGGTCCTACTTACATGTAGCACACTTGGCAAAGTCCAGTCTATTTCAGCCCCCAGCCTGCTGTGTGGGGCGGGGCCCAGCTTCCCTATCTCTAAGAGAAATGCCTTGAATTCGGTGCCCTTTAAACATGCTTCCTAAAAACTGTATTTACCTCTAATTCTTCCTAAAACCCCAAAGCAGCAAAAGCATTTGTTGTTTTTTGTTTTAATGCATAAACTCAAAAGAACAAGAGAATAGACAGCTATAACAGCATTTTGAAAGCAAGAAAGCAGGAAGGTAAGGAGCACTTGATTTAGCACACTGGGCAAGTTAAGTCCTAAACTGGGTGGGAAGAGTTGAGAAGCAATGTAGTGTATGCCACAGAACTTTTAAAGGGCTTGAGAATTGGAAACTGGGGTGAAGGTAGAGGTAAAAACCAGTGAGCTGCTTGTAAGTCTGTTTAAGAAACAGACCTCCAGGTCCTCTTTCCAAAGTCACACTGCTAGACAACTGCATCCACCTCACAGTGGCCAAAGACTGAAGAATTAGTTTTTGGAGAGTGTGAAACACAGAGTTGCCTAGACTTGGTGGACACTGTACACATTTGAGAGTGGAAGAATCATACCAATCATACTGAAAATAGGAATTAAGTGGAAGTTTGTGTTTTAAAGGGCTTTGTAAAGGGACTGAGGTAAGTGAATTTTTTCACCTGGTCATCTTTAATCAGAATGACCAGTAATTCTATGTGTGATTAGATGCTATTAAAGATTTGGGATCATAAAGGGAGCTCTAACTCAAAACGCAAACTAACAGTGAAATGCATCCTTAAATCTAGATATGAATTCTGTTACAATCCAAAGACAGTCAAAAGATGGTTCTTTGAAAAGATCAGTAAGATTGATAAATCTCTTACCAGAGATATCAGGGGAAAAAAAAGAGAAGGCACAAATTACCAGTGTCCAGAATGAAAGAGAGAACACCCCTACAGGCCCTATAGACATTAAAAAATAAGAAGTGAATATTAGGAACAATGTTACAAAAGTACATTTGACAGTATAGATGAAATAGGCAAATTCCTTGAAAGGTACAAACTACTAAACCTCATCAAGAAGAAATAGATATCCTACATATCCCCATATTCACTAAAAAAAATGTATAGTTAAAAAGCTTGCTACAAAGAAAACTCCAGGCCCAGATGGCTTTACTGGTGATTTCTACCAAATACTTAAGAAAGAAATAATACCAATTTTACAGAAATGCTTCTAAGATATATAAAATGTAAGGAAGAAACACCCAGACCATTTTATAAGGAGAATGTTATCCTGATATCAAAACCAGAGAAATACATTACAAGAAAAGTACACTATAGACCAGTATCTCTTAGGAATATTGACACACATTTCTTTTCTTTAAAAAAATTTTTTTTTAATTTTAAGTAGGCTCCACACCCAATGTGGGGCTTGAACTCATGACCCTGAGATCAAGAGTTCCATGATCTGAGTCAGCCAGGTGCCTGAGCACACATTTCTTAATCAAATTTTAACAGGTTAAATCCAAGTGAGCATTTATTTTATGAATGGAAGGTTGGATTAACATTCATAAAGCAATCAATATAATTCACCATATTAGCAGACTAAAAACCAAACAAACCATCAGTCATATAAATAGATGCAGAAAAAGCATTTGACAAAATTTAACACCCTTTTATGATGAAACTCTCAGTAAACTAGGAACAAGAACTTTATCATTTTGACAAAGAGCTTCTACAAAAAAGCTAAAATTATACTTAATGGTGAAAGACTGAATACCTCAGTCCCAAGATCAGGAACAGGACAAGGATGTTCTTTCTCGCCACTGCTATTCAATGTTGTACTAGAGGTTCTAGTCAGTGCAATAAGGCAATAAATAAATAAACACAAAAATAAATACGTAATATATCTACAGATTGGAAAAGAACAAGTATATCTCTCTTTATTTGTAGACAATATGACCATCTGTATACAATCCTCAAAAAAGTTATTAGAACCAGTAAATGAGTTTAGCAAGGTTGTAGGATAAAAGGACAATACACAACAATAAGTTGTATTTCTATATACTCACAACAAACAATTGGAATTGAAATTTTAATATACTATTTAAAATAGCATCCAAAACTTAAGCAACCATCAACTTAATATAGATTGAAGATGTTATGTACAAACTAATGTTAACCACAAATCAAGAACCAGTGATAGATGTGGAAAGAATAAAGAGAAAGAAGTCCAAGTATATCACTAAAGAAAGCCAATATATCGTGAAAGAAAAGAAAGGATCAGAGAAAAACTACAGGAACAACCACAGAACAAGTAACAAAATGGCAATAAATACATGTCTATCAATAATTACTTTGAATGTAAATGGACTAAATGTTCCAATCAAAAGACATAGGGTAACAGAGTGGATAAAAAAAAAAAATCCATCTATATGCTGCCTACAAGAGACTCATTTTAGACCTAAAGTCACCTGCAAATTGAAAGTGAGGGGACGGAGAACCATCTCTCATGCTAATGGATGTCAAAAGAAAGATGGAGTATATACTTATATCAGACAAACTAGATTTTAAACCATACTTAGACAAACTAGATTTTATTTTTTTTTAAAGATTTTATTTATTTATTTGAGAGAGAGAGAATGAGAGATAGAAAGCACAAGAGGGAAGAGGGTCAGAGGAAGAAGCAGACTCCCTGCTGAGCAGGAAGCCTGATGTGGGACTCGATCCCGGGACTCCAGGATCATGACCTGAGCCGAAGACAGTCGCTTAACCAACTGAGCCACCCAGGCGCCTGACAAACTAGATTTTAAACCAAAGACTATAACAAGAGATAAAGAAGAGCATTATATCATAATTAAGGGGTCTATCCATCAAGATGATCTAACAATTATAGATATTTATACTCCCAACTATAATAATAATAAAGGGGACAATCCAACAAGAAGATAAAACAATTATAAATATTTATTCACCAAATATGGGAGCACCCAAATACATAAAACAGTTAATAACAAACATAAAGGAGCTAATCTATAATAATACAGTAATAGCAGGAGATATCAATACCCAACATCAATGGACAGATCATCCAAACAGAAAATCAATGAGGAAACAGTGGCTCTGAATGACACACTGGACCAGATGGATTTAGCAGATATATTCAGAACACTCCATCCTAAAACAGCAGAATACACATTCTTTTCAAGTGCACATGGAACATTCCCCAGAATAGATCACATATTAGCCCACAAAACTGCCTCATCAAATTCAAGAAGATCGAAATCATACCATGCATCTTTTCTGACCACAATCCTATGAAACTAGAATTCACAGGAAAAAATCTGGAAAGAGCATAAATACATGGAGGTTAAATAACATGCTACAAACAATGAATAGGTCAACCAAGAAATCAAAGAAGAAATAAAAAATTACATGGAAACAAAATGAAAACACAGTGGTCCAAAATCTTTGGGATGTAGCCAAAGCAGTTCTTAGAGGGAAATTTGTAGCAGTACCTCAAGAAGCAAGAAAAATCTTAAATAAACAACTAACCTTACATCTAAAGGTGACAGAAAAAGAACAAACAAAACTCAAAACCAGCAGAAAGAAAGAAATAATAAAGATTAAAGCAGAAATAAGTGATATCGAAATTTAAAAAATAGTAGAATAGATCAGTGAAACCGGGAGCTGGTTCTTTGGAGAGATCAACAAAATTGATAAACCTCTAGCCAGAGTCATCAAAGAGAGAGAGAGAGAACTGAAATAAGATCACAAACGAAAGAGGAGAAATAACCAACATTACAGAAATACAAATAATTGGAAGAGAATATTATAAAAAAAAAAAACTATATGCCAACAAATTGGACAACCTAGAAGAAATGGATAAATTCCTAGAAACATATAACCTACCAAAAACTGAAGCAGGAAGAAATAGAAAATTTAAACAGACCAATTATCAGCTATGAAATTCAATCAGTAATCAAAAATTCTCAGCAAACAAAAGTCCAGGACCAGACGAATTCATAGACGAATTCTACCAAACATTTAAAGAAGAGTAATATCTTTTCTTCTCAAACTATTTCAAAAAGTAGAAGAGGAAGGAAAACTTCCAAATTCGTTCTGTGAGGCCAGTATCACCCTGATACCAAAACCAGATAAAGACACCACAAAAAAAGAGAACTATAAGCCAATATCTCTGATGAACACAGATGCAAAAATCCTCAACAAAATACTAATAAGCTGAAGCCAACAATATATTAAAAAATTATACACCATGATCAAATGGTATTTATTCCTGGGATGCAAGGGTGGTTCAATATTTGAAAATCAATCAATGTGATAGATCATACTGTTGAGAGAAAGGATAAAAACCATATGATAATTTCAACAGATGCAGATGCAAAAAGACATTTGACAAAGTACAGCATCTACATGAGTAAAAAAAAAAAAAACTCTCAACAAAGTAGGTCTAGGGGGAACATACCTCAACATAATAAAAACCTTATATGAAAAACCCACAGCAAACATCATCCTTAATGGAGAAAAACTGAGAGCTTTTCCCCTAAGGTCAGGAATGAGACAAAGATGTCCA